AATGCCGAGGTGCTCCCGTGTGAGCAGCCATCGGTTCGGGTATCCCGGCTCAGCGAGCAGGCTGTGCGGGTGCTGAGCACCGGCTCCGCGCGCTCCCCGCGCAAAACACAACCGTGGATTTGCTGCGTGTCTGCAAGCCCTGGTCCCTCCGGAAAATAACGCCTGGCTCAGGCGAAGGGCAGCAATTTAGCCCTCAGCACAGGTGCTTTGGTCTCAAAGAACTGCCAAAACCATCGGGGATTGATTTAACCCATGAGAACAGGAGGATGGGGATGCAGTCCCGCTGCTCCCGGGGGAACGGGGATGCTCCATGGCTCTCCAAGAAGCCCTTCCCAGCCCTAGGGGCTCCCCATCACATTAATTGCATGGATGCTTTTGCCGCGGGTAATGAAAAGGCAGATGTGCGGTTAAAACTGCTCCGCCGATGCAATCTTATCCCTTAATGGCAAAATAACGGCGAGCTGCCGCTGCATGGATATCGCTTTGCCGTCCTTGCAGCGCCCCGGAACACGATCCCCATTAGGGCAAAATTTTCATTAACGATGTTTGGCCAGCTTAATCCCACCCGATAATCACATTTTTTTACGGCATTAAAATAGGTCTAACTCTATCCTGAGCTGTAACCCCTGGACTCCCACAGAGCTGGCCAGGATTTTAGGATGGAGTCGCTGAGCATGATGCATTTCCAGTGCATTAAGATATTCCTGCTTCTGCCTTAGTGCTGAGAGGTTTCAGATAAAGAACGGATGATTTGTCCCAGATTTATCAATGGAGGCGGCTGCTCATTCAAGGATGAGAGAGGAGAGATTCCCACCCCAGCATCTGCCGGGATGGCGCTCCCGGATGGAGACGGGGGGGTTCCTCACCCGGGGGTGCTGCAGGTCTGGGTGGGAGCTCAGCAAGCCCGGAGGGCTGCTCAGAAAGGGATGTTTTCCTGAGATTCATGTGTGTTTGGGATGTGGTCGGTGGGAGAAAGGATTTAATCCTGCTCCTGTGATTTCTCCCAGGAAAATATCTGGAATAAACCGCTGCGATTATGGAAGCACTGCTGTCTCCAGTGAATATTCCTGGTGTAAAAGCAGCCTTGTGCCCAATGATAGTGGTTTATTGGCAGAATTCCTGGCAGGCAGAAAGAGGAGAGCCGGGCGAGATGCAAGGGAAGCGCAAGAGTTAACAGTGAGCCCGGGCTGAGCTTCCTGCCCTGTCCCAGCCGGGAAGCTCGGGAGATGCTCCGGGCTGGAAGGGAGCAGCTTGCTCTCCCTGGGAGCATGTCCTGGAGATGAATTCCTACAGGAGGGACAGGGCGAGGAGATGGGGATGAGGGTTTGGATGAAACAGGACTCAGTGGATGGGGTTTAGAGCCAAGGATGGAGGTGACAACCAGGGACAGGTACCATGGCAGGGTGTCCCCAGCACCGTCACAGGAGACCATCTTCCAATGGCTGCGATTTTCCTGCTGCTGTGGGAAAAAGCAGGACATTTTCCTGCTGGTCCTGATGTCCAGAAAAAGCACAGGGAATGCTTTCCGAAGCTGGAATGCAACCGTGGGAGCAAGGGCTGTGCCCAGGCTCGATGCCATGGAGGATGCCCACCTTGCTGGCGGGCTCCCTCGTGCCGCCCTGGCATTCCCGCTGCGGAGCCGACTCTCTCGGCAACGTTTAGCGCTTGGCTCCTTTTCCAGCTTTGTGTGTTTTGTGCAGCTTGTTGCTAATTCCAAGGATAAATAAGTTTGATCTTTTCAGCTGTTTCCCTCTCTACCTTCTGGAGGCTGGGCCAGTTAAAAATATCCACCGTAAAAAGCCCAAGCGGGACTCGGATGCACCGGAGCGCTTCCAGCCTCCGGCACAGACAGCGGAAAGGAGCTCCACGCTTCCCCAGGCCTCGTGGCTGGGCTTTGTTCCCGATCTGGGAATACCCTAAATTGCGGGAGCCCCACTTTGCCCATGGGATTAAAGGGTTTCGGGAGAGCTCAGGTTGGGTTTGGTGCAGATATCGCTGGGCCAAGCGGCGCCGCTTGCAGTGAGGGAGGCTTTTTCCATAAAAATAATCCTGTTGCATCCGAACGCGACTCTGCGCGAGACCGAATCGAGGGGTCTGTGCGTGCGAGGAGGGGATTAGAAGCCGCTGGCAGGAGCTGTGGAGGCGCCGAGTGCGGCTCAGCCCCCGACGCCTTCGCCCGGGGCCTGGGGCGACCTCGCGCCTCCGGGGCCAGCACCGTGGGGATGCACCCGCTCCGCCTCCATCCCTGTCCGATGCAGTAAAATAAAATAAAGTAAAATAAAATAAAATAAAGTAAAATAAAATAAAATAAAGTAAAATAAAATAAAATAAA